TCGTGTCATGCTTTCTGCCATGTGATGCTGCTGCGCAGTCTTCGTCTTGTGTAGATGCAGCCAGTGTTTGTGTGACGCGCACACTGCAGAAATAACCCCCAAAATAACCTCCCTTAAAATGTCTGTTATCAAAGGATCATGTTTGCATTCTGCACCTTGCATGTCTCAGCAATGTAGAAAGTGACAAGCAGTTTGAGTAATTTTCCCAGGATCACTTGCAAGGCAAGATCACGATGGAGCCCAAAGTTGACACCCAGTCCTGTTTCCCTAATCATTATGCCAAATATAGAAATAAGTATGCAGTTACTGGCATGTGATTGCAAGGTTTGAATCTGTAAATGCTATATTCATATATGCATATAAAGTAGCATCAAATTCTTTGCTTCCATTACTGTGCTGCACCATACCATGTAATTCATCACCTTTTGGAGTAAAACTATTTTTTTTTCCACAAGAGGTAATTCAAAATTATTCAAGATGACTGTCAAGTGTTACGTGTTAGCAAGCGATGCAAAGAATGAGTATAAAATTTGATGTTTGAAATGGGTTTTCAGGGGAATAGAATCAGCACTCTAAAATAGCACAAGCACTCCCAGCTGAAACATAAAAAAATGTTATAGGGGTGCGGAAAATGAAGGGAATGAAAGGTCACTAAAGTGGGAGCAGGAGACACATTAGAACTGGAAAGCTAGAACCATATATTACTCTCACTTCTCTGTTCACTTAAACCTTTAAAGCTTTTAGTTGATTTTGGTACATGTAATATAAAATAAAAACAGCAAGCATAGTTATGTCCATAACAAAATATGTTTAAAACTTTCTGACTCTTTGAACCTGTGCAGTCTAATTTTGGCAGCTGAATATCATATCAGAGTAAGAAAGGTAAGGCAATGTTAAAAAAAAAAAAATGTACTAAAAGCCCCATATAGACATGCCTGTATGGTTTTACAGATGTTTGTCTCAGGGAAATGCATACAAAACCACATTTTTGAGAAGGCACACAGGCATTTACATTTAATAATTAGCATGCTTGGATTTTAGAGCAGGGCCTGAATCATGAAGCAAGTTCTTTTCTTGTATCTTCCATTGACTTGCTCCTAGCAGCAAAGACAGGATAAGTAACTTTCCTACTTCCACAGTAACTTCAAGTTACTATCAAGTTTCCCTGTCTGTTAATGCCAGCTTCCCTATTCGTAAAGGGATTGATGTTTCTTTTTTGCTCCTGTTGTTAAGTATTGTGCAATTGCTTGATTCATTGTGCTATGAAGTACAGACCGTGGCTGTTGTAAGGCTAGGCAAGACTTCTTGTGGGTGATTATCTTTCAGTGGACCAACTGTGTGGTTGGTATAGACATAGGCAAGCTTTTGAATATCACAATACCTTTCCTTAGGCCTCAGCCATTGTAAAGCTACTCATTTTGAATCATTAACACCATGATAGCATGGGTCCTTATTTTGATTTTTACATTCTTAGGAAATTTAAATAACGCATACACAAGTCAATCAGTGCTTTTTTTTTCCTGAGACTATCTTGCTTTACACTCTAAATTCCTTTAAATTGGAAGCCCCAAGTGACTGACTTTTCTCATACATCCTGACCACTTCCTTGAAAAAATTCCTTTGTAGCTGAATTTGGTTACCCGTTTTGCATATCTGGTATTTAATTTGCCTCTCTATTTGGGGAGATGAAGAAACAGAACATACATATCATTGGGATATTCCCTGTAGGATCATTCCTAATGGGTAGAGGCTTGCTATTTAGAGCAGTGGTTCTCAACCTTTTTGGAGGGGGGGGGGGGGTCCCGCGCCACACTCAGCGGCGAACCCAGAAGCACCGCACATAAGTACCAGTGGTGAGCCCAGAAGTGTTCTTCTTGAACCCTCCTGAGGACTCTTGCACAACTGTGATTTAGGTCGTGACCCTAGGTTGGGTACTGCTGATTTAGAGGCAGACAAGGTTCCTGATTTAGCGGAACACTTCAGGACCTAATTCTGAATTGTGTGTGTTGATGCATGTCATCTTCAGGCATCAACGATATTTTGTCCATGTAGCTCATCTTCTGCTTTTAGGATGGCTTGGTCTCCCAACTCCATTAAACACTTCTGAAAATTCAACCTATAATATACTTCATTTTTGGATCTGAGGGAATCTGGATGTTTTGTGAGAATGATCTAGTTGGGGATGGTCGTGTTTTGAGCAGGGGGTGACCTCCTGAGGTCCCTTCCAACCCTAATTTTCTATGATTCTATCATACTTGATAGGGATTATCCATATGTTACAGATGGGAAACAGGCACAGATTTGGAAGTTTATATAACCAAGGTTGGAGATTGCTGAAAGAGGAATCCCATCTTCGTTAATCCCCCATTGCCAGTATCTGCACAGTTAACAATGTGCTTCATCTTACTGTAGTTGTTTAGACAGGGTTCTTATTCAGCAACAGTTGGTGCGTTGACACTGGTTTTTTAACTTGTTTTTATATTTGGCTTTCAGGCCTCCTGCATCTTGCAGCTGATTAAATATATTCAGAAGCTACAAGCAAAAGAGGTACCTGTAGCTGAGGAAGTGATAGCATTGTTTGCAGGCGAGCTGAACCCTGTAGCTCCTAAAGCACAGAAAAAAGTCCCGGTTCCAGAAGGGTAAGATCTTTTATCCTTACAGTATTGCTTTAAATGCATAAGTAGTAGTTCTGTAGCTAAATCAAAATAGCTAGAAATCCTACATATGTGTACATGCATGGAGAAACAGAATTAAGCTGTAAGTAAGTAAATCCATCTGTTGCCATTCTTCCTAGCTTGGATCTTGATACTTGGATCAATGAGCCTCCTTCAGATAGTGAGTCTGAAGATGAAAAACCCAAAACAATCTTCCATGATGAAGAACAAAGGCATTCTAGACAGAGACAGCCAGAGATGGATGAAGAGGAGCTTGCCAGGGTAAGTGAATGTTGACATGCACGTACTACTAATATAATGGTACATTCAAAATCACTGAAGTAGTTGCAATAGTTTGTTTTTTTTAATGCAGCTGAGGGCATGTACCTTGCACAGCTTCCTGAGTTGGAAGTAGAGTGAGCAAGGATGCAAATCTTTGTATGTAACTACTTGACTAATCCATTTTTGTGAGAATCCATACTGATAACGATGTTGTCTTGATTCCCATTGCCTTTGTCTTTGGGATGAAAGCCAAGTACATGGGACCAGGTTTTCAGAAGTGCTCAGCATCCAACTTGCAGAGCTCTTCTTTCCACTTGCTTTTTTCCTGAAGTGGGAACTAAACCTCTTGAGAACCTGGTATCAGCAGGGAGAACAGCTCTTCTGAAAATTTGCCCCATAAACTCTCCAATTGTTCTGATGGCTGCAAACACGGAGACTGTTCTTTACCAAGTGCCACTCACTTAACTTTGATTTGAAGTAAATGTGTGGGTTTTTACTTACTGTTAGTCAATCCCTAGCATTTTCTGGCAGGGAACACGCAGTTTGCAATGACATTTGGGGTGCAGGGTTAGACACAGGCATTTCTTTGTTGGGCTTTGCGCCTGTGTTTTTCCATGAAACCCATGAATTTCCCACCTCTCCCGTCCCCAGCTTGGAAGAATAGACGGGAGGGATATTATTTGGTAGTTTTTCCTTAACAGCTGTTTGCCACACTTCCTTGTAACTATGAAACTTGAAAACTGGAGCGGTTTAATCAGCCGTTATTTCCCTGTAGCCTTTTGTGAGTTGTTTTCAGAGCTTCAAACATACTGTGTGATCACACTTTGCAGTGTCTGGAAATAAAGTGGAGAGTGAGCTTGAGTCAGTGCAGTAACTACAAATATCTTCCTTTTTTTTAAGCGCCGAGAAGTCCGGAAGCAAGAACAGGCAAACAATCCATTTTACATTAAAAGCTCTCCATCTCCACAGAAAGTAAGTCTGGCTTGCTTGAAACCACTTTCACTATCTAGTAGAACAAATGCAGGGGCTCTCCTCTAGGCAGTTGGACTGACTAGTGCTCCTTGTGTTTAGCCATTGTTTTGAGGTCTCTTTGTATTGAAGAGCTGGAAACAAGTCAGCATCATGTGACCAGTCTGCTTTCTGACACTCCTGTTGACCTGAAGTTTGGGAACCATTGTAACAGTAATTGTCATGGTCCTTTTTTAGAAGAACGTGGGGTATAGTCTTGCTCATGTGAATTATGAATTCATCTCATAAAGCCGAGTATTTAATATTCAGCCTAGGCTCCAAGATAGCAAAAAGAGCTAGAAAAAATAAATGCATAAGTAGCTGGAAAGAACTTAAAATACAACGTTAGGTGAATCCCCTGGTCCAGTAATGTGAGTAAGTGTTGTACTTCTTTTGCAGTTATGATTTTTTTTTTTTTTATACTCATTCCCTCCCATATCCCAAGACTTTCTGTGCCAGGTAGACATTCTGTTGAGATCAACGGTCTGTTTATGATGCAGCAGATACACTTGGCAGGTGGGAGCTATGCAGATTGCCTGGTATACTGAGCATAGTGAAAAGCAGAGACAGGATAAAGTACTGAGAGCACCATGTGTGGACAGTCAGTGTGATGCGTCAGCTAGTTAGTGGCTGATTTGAATGCTCCATGTGTCTAAAAGCCTCAAATGAGCATTAGATTATTGTACTGTTGTTTTATTTTATTCTTCCTCTCTCCCAGGATTAGGGCTTTTCTTATCCCCATTACATCCTGAGACTGCCTTGATAACTTAGATCTTCATTGTTTACCTTAGAAGAAGCAAGCCATAAATGTTTTTCAACCAGTTATATATGCGCTTTTCTTGTCTGAAACAAATAATGCTAGAACACTATAGCTAGAAGGAAGGTCCAGATCAATATTGATCAGTTGGTGGCAGTGTCAGAGTGCTAATCCATTTTTCAGGTTCTCTAAATATTAACCTATCCTTTGACATACTAACTACAAAGATTACACTTTGATTTTAATATTTTGAAATATCTCCATTATGAACATCTCCGTCAGAAATGTTTCTAAATAATGTAACTAGTTAACTGACTGCATATTTAAAGTGTTTAATGTAGTTAATCAAGTGTTGAACTGACACACAACAACTCGCTGTACTGTGAAGTCTACACTAATACAGTTTTTCTTTCACTTACGCAGCGATATCAGGACACTCCAGGTGTGGAGCATATACCTGTAGTCCAGATAGACCTTTCTGTTCCCTTGAAAGTTCCAGGTAAGCACATCAAACCAGTTTCAAAATGGAGTTGAAGCTAATGATTTAAACAGAAGTAGTCATTTTCTCTGTTTTATGGCATGAGCTTTTACAGTCTCTCACATAGTTCCCATGTTGGTTGTCACTTTTTAGCGCGCTAAGAAATACAGCTGTTTAATTCAAAACTCTGTTTGAATTACTCTTAGTCTATTATTCTGAATATGAGGCCCACTTTCTTTTAAGTGTGCTCTAGTTCAAACAGCTTAACAGGTAAATATAATACATATTCAAACATGAAAAAGAACCGATATTGTTAGGAAGTATCTTCAGAACATAACCAAGTTCTGCGGTACGGGAAGGCAAAAAGTTGATGTCAGAGACCAGTGGATGGGGACACTAGAGAATTTAGCAATAGTAGTGACACTATTTTAATATGCTGCTTTCTGGTTAATGGTAAGTTATAGATCTGAAAAATAATTGCTTGGGAGTAATATGGGGTTGAGCATCTCTTAACATGCATCTCTCAGGAATCAGTGTCTTCACTTGCAGATTTACAGCCATCAGCGTTTTGTCTAAGGTGTATAGTAAAGGGTTTCCCCAAAACATGAAAAAATATTGTCAAATATTTATATTTTTTTAGCCTTGGAGTAAAATTCTTCCGTTTAGTGTCAGTGTTCAACCCATGTTAAGTCCACAAGATGCAGGCAAGAATCAGAGCAGAATTTTGTCTGCTGGTTTCTAAAGGGATATGGAGTTGGGCAGGGGAAGCTTTACTGAGCAGCTGTAGGGGGGAGGGTTAAGAAGTAGAAGTGTAGTGTGCTACTCCCCATCTGGGAGTCTGGATGAGGAGTTGGGAGGAAAATAAATGTTTGTTCTGAAGTGACTACGGAGATGGTTAACCTCAGAGTAGACTAGCCTGAGAGCAGTTTGGGCCCTTCTTTAC